TACAACAGGAGCGCTTTACAGTGTAGAGCTACAACTTCCATTTTTTGACTATTTTTGGTAACTGGTCATGTGACCATCATCCCATTACATGGGCCCTAATAGATAAAATTATTCCTCACTTGGTTTTCTCCAGTTTTTGGTCAAAGTGGATGATATTTTCTTCTTGGTATGGACTCTGAAGGTAGTGCCTGACATTCTATATACCATTCAAACTTTTTTTCAGTTTTTCCACTATTTTCCAGCAATTTTTGGATCTATTACCATATTTGGAATTGTACCCTTGACCCTGACAATGTTACCAAACATTATCACAGCAATGGCCATCCATCATTTTCTTCTGATTTTTTGCCTATTTTCTGGCTATTTTTTGTTATGTTACCATATTTGGAAATAGACTCTGGACCCTGACAATGTTACCCAATGTTATCACTAGCAATAAGCACCATTCCCCATTTTTTTCCTATTCTTGACCATATTACTTTATTTGGAACTAGAATCCTGACCCTGACAATGTTACTCAATGTTATCACTAGCAATAAGCATCATCCTCCATTTTTTTCTGATTTTCTAGCTATTTTCTGGCTACTTTTGGATATATTACCATATTCAGAACTGGACCCTTGACCCTGACAACATTAACCAATGTTATCACTGCAATGGGCACCATCCCCCATTTTTTCTGATTTTCTAGCCATTTTCTGGCTATTTTTAGGTCTATATTACTCAATTTGGAACAAGACTCTGGACCCTGACAAGATTACCCAAGGGTATCACCACTATCCTCCATTTATTTCTGATTTTCTGGCTATTTTTGGCTATATTACCATTTTGGAAATGTGCACTGGACCCTGAAAACAACCTCCAACATCATTACCAACAGTAAGCACCACCCCCCCAAATTTTCCTGATTTTTGTGCTATTTCATAGTCATTTTACCTCTGAAAAAGTGCACATCTCCTTATTTAGAAATGTACCCTGGACCCTGAAAATGACCTCCAACATCATCACCAACAGTAAGCACCACCCACAATTTTTTCTGATTTTT